GCCGTCCACAGGATGCCCTTGCAGCCGTTGTTTTTCGCTTATCACACCATTCACGGTATACCCGTGAAACTGTAGCACGTGAAAAGCCTAGCAGTTTGATGGTTTCTGCGATACTCAAACCAGCTAGTCCGGCACCGACGACCGTTCCACGTTCAAAGTCGCTGAGGTCTGTTGATTTGCCCATTCTGCAGTCAAAACACACACACTAAAGCAGGGCTGCCTGCTTTAGGTCATAACCTAACCTACCTAACCTAGGTTAGGTAATGCTGTAGCTGCATGGAAAGTTGAATGTTGGGGTATCTCTAATTTTGTGGACATTGAGTGTATGTTACTTTTAACATGAGTCCCTTCCAAAGGTTGACTGCTTCAAAACAATGTATAAACGTGAATTGTTAGCGATTTCTTACGGCTCTCTTGAAAGATGAGGGGTTAAGGCCAACCAGATTGACACTAGTGCAAGCATGTTTAAATTCTGGAAAGTCTTCCCATGAAAAATAGAACAGTGAAGGAAACCATGCCAAATGAATCTGAGTGATCAAGGCATCACTAGGCAGTAAAATTCATTCATTTTGTGGCTTTAATTTAGTACTATTCTGCATATCACATGTCATCATTGAATACAGAAATTCACATGCAATACTTCACCAATTATTTGCACCATCCATGATGCACATGAGGAATTGTCTGTACATCCCATCTACAATGGAGTTTCTTACATCATATCATGAACTCTACTGCACAATGACTTCTTAATCACCTTCCAGCTTCATGTTTGAGTTCCTTGCTTTGTATATTTTCCTATGAAGGCCTACAGTATTTAGTATATATGCTTAGTCATTATTTTGTTGTTTTCAATCAGCACGCTGTTTATGATGTGACCAATTTTCCTCTTGAAAGATTTTCCATATCTGTGTGATTGATCTCTTTTGTTTCCATCTAGGGCCATGCAAGGATAGGGAGGGGAAGTTGGAGTCACTGCTTTGCCTGTCATTGGGATCCATTGGGTCTTGGAGTGAGCCTGCTGGGGGACGCCATGGCATCACCAAGACCAGTGTGGGGCTGACCATCCATGTATGTCAGCTGCTTCATGCAGGTCTGCTCCATTGAGGGCTTGTCAGGCGTCCTCTGCCTGTCCCGCTCTACTGCGCTTTACAGCTAAGCTGCTAGCTTGCTGTTGCTCAGCTCTGGTCCCTCATGGTCTGAATTCCATGAATCACCACTATATTTGTCCATTAGCTTCTATTCCATCTTATGTTGTTATACTGATAATTTTTCATTACGGTTTGTTTGTACTTTCTTTTCAATATAAAGTCTTATTAGTCACTTCAAAACTTTTCAAGTGAGAGTTGTCACATGTAGCTGTGAATTTTCACACCCTTTATGAGTAGTTTACTGATAATGTTTTGAGGTTTCTTACTCTTAGCCTGTATATAGTTCAGTTTCATGCAAATCATAGCTGGTAAACAAGGTCAAGAAACATATTGCATTGAGGTATTTAAGGAATTTTCAATTTTGCATGCAATATTGTGTAATTATCTGTTGGTGAGTAATTATGATCCAATTGCTTATAAACCAATTCCACCAATTTGTTAAAAAGTCATTAATCAGTCCTGACAGTTGGAATTCACTGCTTTTGATCAATTCCTACACCATAAAATCTACGTGAAGTTCAGTGACCCTCACGTTTGGACATAATTTTGTATTGAATTAATTTCCTCGTTATCAGAGCAAAATTTATTCCACCCATCCATTATCAGCATATATGAATGACCTCTCCAGTAACTTGGAGAGTAATTGGATTCTCAGGTACAACTACTGGTCGTTGCAGGAAGTTTAATGGAGATATCTTAAATCAAACTAGATTCTGAAGGAGAACCAGCAGAGTGAGATCCTTCTGTAGCATGGACTTGAAAAGGTCTGGGGTCCCATGCGGAATTATCGGTCTCATTCTGCAATGGGCATATTGTGAGTCATTTGAATAGCAATTGAAATGGAACTGAGCATGTTTAAAATTTTCCAAAAAGATTGATTTTGTTAGGTGTTTGAGTGGTATTTAATTGGAGAGTTCAGTTGATTCAAAAATTTTCCAAAATGCATGTAACTTGCATGATTGGTTTCAATTGCACTAATATTTTGCAGTTGCTTTCTATGCAGAATGTTTCATAAAAATAAGCTGTGATACAGTTAGTGCTTTGGTCTGTGATATTGATTTAATGTGCTTTGTGTAAAAAATTTTTGGGGGTTGGCAACTGGAACCAAGTTTTTTTTTTTCTCAAAAGGAATTGAGAATTTGACTTTGGGAGTCAATTATAAATTTTCCCATCACTGTTCCCAGCACAGATAGGCCCCTCATGAGAAACAGATGCAATGGAATTGAACGGATTATGTCTTGCAGGGTTGTGGGCTGAGGACATCATTGCCAGCATATGTGAAGCAAGAAGGTCATAGGGACCACATGTATGAGATGCTGCCCTTACATTCCACCTCTACTGGGAAGCTTTCCAAAGTTGCACAGGCGAGGGGATCGGGATGATCTCCCTGTTGATGAGCCATTAAGGCCTGCTTAATGATGCCCATTCCATGTCCTTCATCAATGCTGCCCTCATCTCTTTCACTCATGCTGCTGAGTCTAGGTCTGTTGGATTTTCTTTTCCTAAAAGCTATTTCTAATATCTTGCTTTTTTCAAGAGAATTATTATTCCTCATGACTAACTATGCTGATCCATTATTCTTTGTACAGTTAGAGCTTTGAATCTATTAGGAAAATTTATCTCAAACTCTCTTATATTTTAGGGTTGGCCATAAATATTCACACAAATTTAAGTCTTGTTTTTCAGTTGATTGAATGAGACAAAAAAATTCACTGTCATTACTCACTAAATATTTTCATGTCTCTCTTATTCTTTCCAAAAGGAACCTGAAATCTTAGTGTCTGCTTGTTGGTTACATTAGATGGATATGGTTCAACTCTTGTTTCAGCACCATAATTTTATAAATAAATAGTTTAATTGAAGCTGTTGCTTCTATTTTTGGACACACTTCTTGCAGACTCAGCTTACAGGAATCTTTTTGGATTATAATCAGAGCTGTAGGGGGGGGGGACCATTCGTATTTGCGTATCATTTCTGCTACACCGGCAAGTTTTTGAATGTCAAACCATATGACTCAGAGAAGGAGTCTTTGAAATGCTAAAGTTGGCGACCAAAGAGAAGCTGACACACACACACATATATACATGTATATATATACTGTATATACGAGGTGTGGCAATAAAGTTCCAGGACTGATTTTTTTTTTTGAGTCTGTCAATATTGCAAAAATTATTTCCATTCCATGGACTAATAGATTAAACTGTTGGGCTGTGTTGAGTCAGTCCTCATCTGACTAGTATCTTGAATGAGAGTTTGGCAGGCAATGTAGTAACTCAGTGTGTAAGGCATATGTCATATTCCCAGAGTGAAGCAATGCTGTATCACATTTTGTCTCAAACTAGTCAATACAGCTGCAGTAATCCATCAAATGTTGCAGATGTGTCTTGAAAAGTTCCTTGTTATGCTCCAATAATTTTGAATGACCTTCATGGCCTTTAGCAAGTAGTGAAGACACTCAGATCCACCTCAACCCCAACCATCATCAACCATTCATCCAAGCTGAACCAATCATTATTTTTTACTGGCTGAAAACCTTGAAAACTATTCAAGATTCTTGAAGTATGACAAGACAATTTGTCAAGGCACTTCTTGCAACATTTGATGGATCGCTGCAGCTGTATTGACCGAATTGAGACAAAATGTGATGGAGCATTGCTTCACTCTGGGAATATGACAGATGCCTTACACACTGAGTTACTACATTGCCTGGCAAATTATCATTGAAGATATTAGTCAGATAAAGACTGACACAACACTGCCCAACAGTTTAATCTATTAGTCCATGGAATGAAAATTATTTTTGCGATATTGACCGGCTCACAAAAAATCAGTCCTGGAACTTTATTGCCACACCTCGTATACAGGGTGGGGCAAAAAAAAAAACAAAGCTATCATTTTTGGCAAGTTGTCAATCAGATTGTAGGTTGCCAGTTTTTATGAAATTTGGTAGACACATAGGGTGACTCAATTAGGGTTTGTTTGCCAAGTTTCAAATAAAATTTCCAAAAAATGTGAGATTGGCATTTAATTTATATTTCATCACCAAAAAAGTAAGTGTTCGTTTTTTTTCAGCTTAAAATCTTTCACAACTAACGAAAAACAAACAAGCAATACAAAAACAAATTCACAAGGGCCAAACACAAAAGCCCACAATTTGGTTTAGGACATTAATTTCAACTGAAAAGGTGCTCAATATTCCCTCCATTCTGTTGAACACTAACCTCTAGTCTGCAACACCACAGATCAATGGCATGGCCAATAAACCTTTGAGGACATGCTTCCCGATCTTCCTTTGTAGCATCATGCTGGGATGGAAGTTCTTGAATTTGGACCTCCCTTTCATCCCAGCTTCAAATTCATATCAATATTTTCGACATCACATTTTATGGGTGTTCATCAGAAAATAATTACAGCTCTTATAATTATATAGTCTATGTATGTCTGTATAGAGCCAGAAAGCTGAAATTGGGTATACAAACTTCAGTTGTGTCAATCTATCAGTCTACCAATTTTAAATTAAAATCAGCAGGCTACTTTCGAATCTTGACAACTCAACAAAATTTATAGCTTTGTTTTTTTTTTGGCCGACCCTCTATATATATACTGCATATTTATTTCTCTTTGCTTTTCTTGGGGCATGCAAATGTATGAAATTGATGTGTTATGAATGTTTATGGCCCTCTTTAAAAGTTGAGTAAAAGAAGGTCTGGACCAGTTGAAGTAAAATATTTGTTTTCTAATTATCTGCTATGATTTATACACATACATGCTCCAGAATGCCAAACACATGGGACTGTAACCCCTCATCTGGTGTTAACAGGAAGATATCACAGTTGAGGGTTGATTGTTTTATGTTGGACTGTTATGTGATGTTAAATTTTGGAGATATTGTTGATATTGAAAGCCTAGATGAGATTCCCCCCTTGTCTTCTCTTGAGCAAGTAACACCCTAACACTTTCAAACGCTTTTCATATGGAAGTCCTGTAACCTCCTTGCATCATTTGCATGGCCCTCCTGTGGACCTCAAGTGTGACCAATTCTCTCTTATTCAAAGGCCTCCAAAATTGAATAAAATATTCCAAAAGAGGTCTTACTAGTGCTGCATATGATGGGAGAGAGATGCATAAGCTCTTACTGCCTGGAACAATAGATGAAACCTTTAGTCCTATAGCATATCACTATTTTCACTCATGTATGTGTGGAAAGTTTGAGTTCTTCATTGATAGTAATCTGAAGGTCCCTCTCTCCTCTGGCTTCACATAGTTCATCTACTCCAAATTCATTCAGTGAACTATCGTTATTATGACCAATGTGAAGAACCTCACTCTTACTTTAATTAAACCTCATGAGTAATTCTTGCTCCACTTGTCACACTTGTCTTGCTTGGCTCTCATACACTTCCTCCCAAATAGCACAGCCTATTTTGGTATCGTCAACAAATTTGCTGATCTCGTCCTCTAGACCTTGATCTAAGTTGTGGATAAAGACCAAAAAAAGATGTGGTCCTTGAAAGAAGCCCCAAGGAACACTGCTCGTTACCTTGACTACCATTGACACTTCCCTATTTACCATCACTTGCTCTTCATTCATGAATATTCCTCATATACAATGCATAATGCATATTTAGTGAATATAAATATTTAGTTTTTACTGTCATTCTTCAATGCGATTTGGAACGATTCCCATGAGATAGTCCATAGTCCATGCCATAGTCTGTACTCCCTCCATATTACAAATAAAAATTAGTTGGTGTTAATTATTTAATCAGTAGTTAGTCTGCCCAAATCACATTAGATCAATAATAAAAAGTGTACCCACAGGAGAATGTAATAATAATACAGCAGTTGTGCTGCTAGAGTGCAACAGTAATGATGATGTAGCCTTCATCACAGGCATAAAAATCTCGTAAAGAAGGTAATTATGATTCAATGAAAATTTTGCTGAGTTCAGATACTAAATAAATGGAATAAAAACAATAAAGATGAGCTATGAAGATAGGCTAAAGATAGGCAATAAAGGCTAGGTGCCTTTTAATCATTAGGCCCTAAAAAAACGAAGACATTCAATCCCAAAGAGATTGACCATATGTTCGCGAATGGTAGTCGTCTCTGAAAGGATTTTTTTCCTTGCGTTTCAATATTCATCGCACTACGTTTCACAATCGGAGCGTTATGCAAATGGTTTAATGAAGATCGCAAGATTGGAGAAATTGCCAGACGTGGTCAGGTATTCCCGGATGGAGGGCGTCTCAGAAATACGTCGCATCTCTTCGATTCAATGGTCATGGTACTACGTTTCATTGTAGGAGATACATGGAGCGTCCTCTTAATTGGCACATTGCACAAATTCTGTCTTGTTATTGTGTTCGCGAAAGGCGGCCGTCTCTGAAATCGATACCATGTAAACGATTCAGTGTACATTGCACTACAATTCACTATCCGAGCTATATAAAATTTGTTTCGTCTACATTGCAACAATAGAGGACTCCTCAGATTTGGTTCTGTCTTCGCAAATGACGGGCGTAACTGAAACACGTCGTAACTCTGCGATTGAATATTCATATCACTACGTTTCACAATCAGACCTCTATAGAGTTGGTTTCGTCCACATTCCAACATTTCAGAAATTGTCAGACGTGGTCATGTGTTCGCGTATGGCGTGTGTCTCTGAAATTGGTCGTATCTCTGAGAATCAGGTTTCATCATAATGCGTTTCACAATCGCAGCTATATGGAATTGGTTTCGTCCATTTTGCAACATTAGAGAAATAGCATAACTTGTTCTTGTGTTCGCGAATAGCGGGCGTCTCTGAAATACGACGTATCTCTGCGATTCATTGCTCAGCTTACTCATTTCACAAACGCCGCTCTATTGAATTGGATTCGTCTACATTGCAACATTGAAAATTTTGTCAGACTTGGTCATGTGTTCGCAAATGCCGGCGTCTCGGAAATCATTCCTATCGCCTCGATTCAGAGCTAATCCCACTACGTTTCACAAGCGGTGCTGTTTGGTGTTGATTTCGTCTACATTAAAACATTCTCTAAGGTGCCAGACTTTGTCAAGTATTCGCGAATGGCGGGCGTCTCTGAATTACGTCGTTTCTCTGCGATTCATTGTTCATATCACACTACACTTCACAATCGGGGCTCTATGCAGTTGGTTTAGTCAAAATTGCAGCATTGTAGAATTTGTCAGACTTGGTCATGTGTTCGCGTATGGCGGATGTCTCCGAAGTGCGACGTATCTCTGCGATTCAGTGTTAATCTCAATGCGTTTGACAGTCGCATCTGTATTGAGTTGGTTTCTTCCACATTCCAACATTAGGAAGTTCGTCACATTTGGTCATGTGTTCGCGAATGGCGGGCGTCTCTGAAATACGTCCTATCTCTGCGATTCCATGCTCAGCGTACTTAGTTTCACAATGGGGGCTCTGTGCAGTTGGTTTAGTCAAAATTGCAGCATTGTAGAATTTGTCAGACT